CCTAACCCACCCCCCTGCCCCCATTGCTCATGGGAGCCCTCTACTATCGGATAGCTCTCTTTCTCAGCAGGAAAGACATACCGTTAGCCGGATCGAGTGCGTCGCACGAGGCACATCGAGGGACGGGGCGTTCAGGGATGGCCCGGTTGTATTTATTTTCCTCAATGACCGGGAGGAGGGTGCGGGGTGGGTCGGAGTTGGGGTTGGCAGGGTGAAGGGATGGGTTGCTGTGGTTGGTGATTGGGAGGGGAAGTGTGATACTGGGTGGAATGGTTGGAAGGGGGGGGGGGCCTTTTGGACTTGTGGACTTTGGGCTAATTCGTGAGTGTGTATTACGGTGTCTTACGGCGGTGGGTGGCAGGATGGGAGGTTGTTTTCCGGGGCCTGGTGGTGGGTTTCCACGGGGCGGTGTTGTAGGAGCGTATCACACTTCCCTCTCGGAAATTGGAGTTGTGTTATAGAGTATCATATGCTTGTGGTGTGCCGGTCAGGGAAAGCGAACCTTTTTCTCCCCTAGTGCCTACTGGCAAATGGGTATTCGCTAAGACCAATATTATCGCCCATGCGTATCCCGCGACACCCTGCTGTCAACGCCCCGGAATCTCGTTACCATGCACCCGGCCCCACATCCCTCGTGCAGCGGGGGAGTAAGCCTATTTCCGAAATGACCCTGCTGGAGGAACCTGGATGAGTTTAGTGGAGATATCGCTTTGATCTAATACTTTTTTTTTCTTTCCTTTCTTTCCTCTTTCCTATCACCCACCTAGCTAGAGAGGCCATTAGACGTCATGTCGGGGAACGGGGCTTTGGAATACCGCAGAGACCGCCGGTTGAGGTTAACTCCGACGCACTCTTCCTATCATCTGTACCTCTGATATATGATACAAATATGACCCCGCGGTGCTACCATTCCCCCCTGACGCACATGTTGGAAGCCCAAGCTGCTCCCCACACCTGCCCGGTACCCTCCCTTCCCCCTTTCCTTCCCCCTACCCTTTCCCCTTTCCTTCCCCCTACCCTTTCCCCCTTCTTCCCATTCTGCATGGTTTGCTTGTTTGCTTGTTTGTTAGTTTTCGGGAGCGCACGGCGGAGCGCTGGCATAGCGCACGGTGGGCGCGAGAGGAATGGTGGCGGAGCGCAGAAGCGCGGGAGAGTGTGCGCTGGAGCGCAGCAGCGTGCGGGAGCGCACGGAGGGTGAGCGACGGAAGACCGGATACCGCAGCACTGGAGATAGTGTGCGGCGGAGTGCAGAGGGCTGATGGCAGGGGAGCCGGGTGAAAGGCGTGCGGCCGGGGAGCACGGTGGAATGGCAAGAGCGCCGGAGCGCGCGGCGGAGGAGCGAAGGAAGAAGCGCAGGAAAGCACTCGCCGGAGGAGCGCAGGAAAGGCGGCGGTAGAGCGCAGTGGATGGGCGCACGGCGGGAGTGCGAGTTTGTCCTATTTTCTTTGTTAGCTTTACTATTCCGGTTTGCTTCTGGGAGACGTACCTGTATGGAGGGGGGGAGGTTTGAGTTTGTCTCTTTCCTTTGTTAGTTTGTGTTTGTCTGCGAGAGGGAAGCGGAGGACTTACCTGAGGGGTGGGGGGAGACTTTGTGGTTTGTCGGCGTCGCTCCTGAAGTAGTAGATATATTCTCCTATGTTCACCGTTAGTTAGTTGATTGCGCGATAACTTTAGTTAGGGGAGCGGGTGAGTGAAAGAAAAGTTTTTTGTGCGATCTCTTTACCGTGAATAAGCTTGGCGTTTCGTTTTACAGCCCATCACTCGGCTGGTTTCCGATTGGCCAGTTGCGACAGATCCCTGTTCGTTCGCCGTTGCTACCGCCGTTCCACCGCTCGTTCAATAGCACACAGTCCTGGTTCGTGCTTACCTTCCTCCACCTTATTACAGTCTCTTTGCATACATTTGTGAACATCGGACATTTGCAACAAACGATAGAGGAAGGAATCACCACCTGTCACTCGGCTAGTACAAGGCAATGGGTGTTGAAACATGCTTCTGACACTACCAGTAACGGGTATTGTGGTATCATTCAGACTATTACTTTTTCTCCTTACATCGATTCGTACCCCAGGCACACATCTAGGCCTCCGGTACTATTGAAGATACCTCCTTGCATTTCTATTTACCTTTCTTTCCTCTGCTATTGTTACTGTTCGCTCAACCTAATTGTCTCGCTCACAATAGTAGATAGTAAGAGCTTCTCGCTCTTCCTTTCTAGAGAATCAAGCATTCATCGTTCTCTATCCCAAAATCTTCTTTGCCGTGCAAAACACTCCTCACAATACTTTCACAATAATGGGTTCCTCCGGGGTATTTATGTAGTCTATGGAATGATAGGGCATATTATGGCATATAATCCTAGGCTTACTGGGCTCTGTTGGGTCGGTGTAAAAATAATCACACCCCCATTATCGATAAAGCAGGAAGGGAGAGGGGGCGGGTTTACCCGTGGCTTTTAGTAGGGCGGGGAGAAGGCGGTTTACATACAGAAGGTATTGTATTCAGAGAGGTAGAAGAAAGGCTCATTTAGATTTTTGGATACGTAACCAGCGATAGCCTGTGGCGTTCCGAGTAAGAATGCTGTGGACCCGACTTACCTCTTCCATAGCAGTATATCTATGTGTGAGCGCCATCCTCCCTCCCTACAGACACTTTTGTTGAAGTGATGAATGATAGTGTGTTGTGGTTGGTCATGGAAGGAATGGAAAGTGGAAGGATAAGGTTGTTTGCCGGAGTGGCAGGAGTGTTTTTTCGGGATTAAGCAGTAGGATAGATTTGTTTGAAGGCTAGAAGCGGATTTCACAGATATGTCTTTCCTTTGTTATTACGGATGTGAACAGAGGAGTTTGGACATGAAGGGAACGTGAGAGATGGGTGTAGTTGTTTATGGAGAGATTAGGTTGCTTTGATGATGTTTTCCTTATACACCTGTCATTACCTATGAGCGAAGGCGAGAGAGATGAAGAACAAAAACTTTTCCCTTTGATCCCACCACAAGTATTCTCTATACTGTTCCGTTCTATTAGCACTGCGCATTTTGATAGCAACCACCATCACAACAACTTTTTCGTCCGCGAATCTTGTCCCGCCATCTACAGATCTCCGAAGGTTGGCTATTTAAGATTCGCGTGTTGTAGGGGGATGTTCGATCCATCGGGGCATTCGGCTCCCCTATGGCAGGAGTAACTATTACTCGGCATTGAATATCATGGTACTGGATGACGTCTTTCGGGGTTGCGCCTTTCTTGCGTCGCTTACGGTACGGCTTTGGTGGTACTGTGCGGTGGGGTGGGCTCAGCCTAAAGAGGGAGGGGGTGGGGGCGCGGTAGACAAGGTTCAACAATTCCCGTTCAGAAGTGACTTAAATTTTAAATTACCAGAGAATTTCTATATGATCTAGTAGTGCAGAATTATGTAAGGGAATAAAAAGATGAGAGTAGTGAAATGCTAGAAAAGAGTATACCCGTCTAGATAACGAATGTGATGAAGCCTGCAAATGAAAATCCCGATAGAAACAGTGTCAGACTGGACATATCGTCCCGCCTGCAAATATGAAAATCCAGCACAAATGAGATTCTTTGACAGAAATTGAGACAAGCAAGAGAAGTGTATGTAGAAAATATATTCAAATGGTGATGAATTAAGGAAATGGGTGAGTCCCCTGTGAGCCGGGTGTGACAAGTGGTCGCAAGTAGAGGGCGTAAGATAAAGCTCAGAAAATAGGGTGGAGCTTGGGAAAGTCAGCCTGACTGGAACGAAAGGCAGTGGGGAAATACTGGGACTCTTTACTAACCAGATATCTCAGGCACCCGTGTGTACGAAGGGGGCCCATAGGAGAGGGTTGCCTGGTTTAGCATCTCGAACTTTCTTCACAGCCTTGTAAAAAGCGGTAGAGACACGCTGGTGGTCGTCTTCTCCGCTTCCTCGATTTTGGAAAAGCATGTTGTAGAAATCTCTCGCCACCTCACAGGCCGCATTGTCGTTGGTTTCCCACATGTTTGCGAGGGTATGACTGAATCCGGCGAGTTGAAAGGCGCTGGCAAGGTGTATCACTTCGTCGGCTAACTCGGAGGAGGGGTTTTTGGCCGATGAGCAAGCCGAAAGGTATGCGATCTGGGCATTTTGCGCAACCATATTTGAAATATCCCGAGTAAGGAGTTTGTCAGCATTAACTCCATTTTGGCTAAATAGAACCAGGTGACTGTCCGAAGGGTTGATGCAAGACACTCCGTGACAGGCGAAATGGACAATGTCGTGGTACTTGACTTTCTCGAGAACTTCGGCTGGGGTTGGATTCATCACAACTGTGGTCTCGATCGAGTTTTTCTCCGTCGAATCAAGTATATGTTGAATTTCTTCACCAATACCCGGCAGGTCGATGGCGCCGGGCGTTTCTGGCATGGGAACAAGAAGCAAGCGAGGATTCCGTTTTTGGACAATTTTGGTTTTCTTGGAGCGCCCCGGCGAAAAGGAAGCGGCACATTCATCGAATAGCTGGAGCTGTGATTGGCGTGCATAGGAGAGGGCTTTGATTGTCGGGATATATGTTGAGATGGCTCGACTTAAAGTGTTTCGGGTTGAGCCTGGCGAATGATCCCCGGCTGCATGGAAGGGTGCCATACTTAATTGCCCTACCCCGATCCACCAAATCCGTTTCAAATTGGTGTCATGAACACTCTCGCTGAAAGGGGTTCCTTCGCATTGAAGGTGGCCAAAAACGGGCCCTACTGCTACATCCCACAACCAAAGGAGGAATTCTTTCATCTGTTTGGTATCCTTGCCTCGCTTAACAAGGGATCCTCCCCCAAAACTGGCCAATTGCTTCATGCGGCGGCTTGCTTCTTTGTACTTCAATTCCTGAGGCTCCAAGGAAGTTATAGCTGATGCGGTGACAATTATGGCGTCGCTCCGATAAGCGGTGCAATTGAAGACAACGATTGGACCATTTATTGCCATTTTCATCAGTGCATCCTGAGAAGGCGGAAGCAGGAATCCGGCATAGCCTGGTAAACTGCGGATGTATCTTAGAGTTTCTTCCATCTCATTGACAGCATCCCACCGTCTGGATATAACACTATTTTGGCATTTATTGGGTGTTTCACCACTTGTGTTGTTGATTCCATCTGTTGACGAGTCAATCCCAACTCGAAGGCGGTGGAATCGGTCGAATGTGAGTGGGTGGTCAGTTTTGAGGTCCGAAACATCGGATCTTGAGTCAATTAAAAAGCCCATAATTATCCCACGACCAAGCTCTAGTATCTTGAGACTATCAAAGGCTTCTCTCCCTGCCTGAAGGGCCACGGAAGCGGCAATTGAGGCTAGGCCAGAAATTTCCGACAGCATGTGCTGCTGGTCATCGCGTTTGAGGAATCGTAGATCAACACTGGGTATTAAGTTGACTGCATCCTCCAGTATGGAAATTGATTCACGAAACTTTCCGGCTGAATATAGTAAAAAAGCTGCTTGGCGAGCCGCGTGAATCCGCACCCAGGGCGGCGAGCTGCGGCAACCGTGAGCCTCAATGTACAGGCGGAAGCTTCTATCTGGGTCGTTCCAGGGGTGGGGCCGTGAGAATGGTGATTCTAAAAGTGAACCGAGGAGAGTGCATACATCGGCACAGGGTGGGTGATCTCGGGGGGTAGCAGCTAGCGCCTGCTCGGCGTGCTCAATGGCTTTTTGGAGGTCTCCTAGGTCTCCTATCCGCTCAAACCTTGAAGACAAGAAGAATCCCGAGTTATCGTGCAAATTCGCTCGATCTGGGTGATCTTGAGGGGTAGCAGTTAATGCTTCGTGGGCGTGATCGATGGCTTTTTG